CCCCTTGCCTGTTCTTCTTTTTTCGGTTTGGGGGGTTTGGGGGGGGGAAACCCCAGGCGGAACCCAGGAGGTGGGTTTGAAATTTTATTTTACCCCCAACCCCTTTGGGGGGGGGGTAGGGGGGGGGGTATCCACCGGGAAACTTTCCCGGAGGGGGGGGGGGGGGGGGGGGGTGAGTGAAGATGGACGACGGATTGATACGCCGGTGCTTTAAAACGCTAGCGACAATGCTAGGGTTGGGCAAAGCTGAAGTCACCTTCTCTTAATTGTAAGACGCTAGCGACGCTGTTAGATTTCGACCAATCCAGGATCGCTTTGTTTCGAATGGAAAAATGCTAGCGACACTGTTACAGCTGGGCCAATCTGGGGTCACCTTGTTCCAGCATGGACAACTCTAGGGCTAAGGCTAGGGTACTAGAAAAGTTGGGGCAATAGTATCACGATATTCCAGTAGGGTTAGGGTTGGGATTTTCAGAAGAGTTGGGCCAATCTAGGTCCACGTTACTCCAGTAGGGCTAGGGCTAACGTTTCGGAAGAGTTAAGGCCGGTCTAAGTTCACCTTGTTCCAGTAGTACGTCGAGCCAGAGTTGGGGTCCTTGATTTCCTTCCACCCTCCAGGGAGAGGGCCGCCAGCACCACCACCACCACCATCACCACCGCTTCCGCTACTGCCCCCTCCGGCCTGCTTCCGTTGCACTCCCTCGCGGACGCTGTTCTGCTGCTGCAGCAGGCGTTCCTTGGCGCTCTGCTCCAGGTACGTCTGCTGCGCCTTCCTCTGCAAGACAAAGAAATGCGCATTACAGGAGAGGTCCCTGTTTAGTGCCGGAGTGTTGTTGTTGTTGTTGTTGTTGTCTTCACATTACAAACCTTTAGGGTTAGGGCTGTTGAGAGACAACTAACTCACCAGAGTGACGACCTCCAGCGTGTTGTCCCCGTCTTTGCCATCCCTGGCCTTCCGTATTTCTCCTGGCTTGAAGTGCCGCTCCCCCCCCGAGCTGCTCAGAAGCGCCAACGCTGATCCACAGAGTACAGAGAGCATATACGACAAGCAACAGCAGCAGAGAATGAAACCGTCAACCCGGAACAAAGCGCCAACACTGGCACATGAACAGAGCACAGTAGCAGAGACGGCAGCAACAGTAGAAAATGAAACCGTCAATCCGGTAAAATATGAAACTGTCGACCCGGTAGAATGTCACAAGTTAATCAAGATTCGATAACAGTAAGGCGGGGATGACTGGAGAAGCTGGCGGCTGTACGAAGCGAAAAGTTTACTTTCAACCGAAAATGTCGCCTCTTGACTGCGGCCGCCGACAGGGAGTCACTGGGCGTCGGAGTTAACGTAGTTGCCTACATTTCCGCGAGGGCCGGGATTCACAACATCGAGCGCTGGGAAAACACGAGTAGGTGAACAGCGTAGTAGTGATGTACGCTGCCTGTCTTCGTGTAGAACGATGTATCATCTCGGCGGCGCTGGGAGGAGATGATAAAAAAAAGGTCAATCCATTTCACTACTCTGCTGCGATCATATACGTACTTCGATAGAAAACGGTTTGAGTAGTCTGATGGACCAGCCTTTTTGCATCGCGAGAGGGGAGGGAGATTCAGAGCGGCGGCGGCGGCGCTGTCTGATTGGCCAGCTGAAAATAGAGACAGTTCGCCTGTAAAGCAACAGCGACACTCCCGCAAGCAGGTGGAGATGGCCTTGAACAAAGGTCCCATCTTCCCAACGCCAATGCGGTGCGATCCCTCTCTTCACAAGCAAGCACCAACACCGCTGTAAACTGTTCACTCGAAATACAAACGAAGCGTGTATCGTTCAACTTCCCCAGAGGGCCCTGCAGCAACTTGAAAACAAAGACGAGGAGTTGTTCCCATGGTGCTCAGTGCATGGTGAAATATGTGTATGTAGATTTGAGCTGCTGTGCGACGACAGCAGCCAGGGGATCTTGGTGCCTATTATCCCGCCCCAGCAGTAGAAGTAGACGAACAGAGCAAAGACCGCCAACAGAGGCTCGTCCTACTGTACACACGCAATGCATGTATGGACGTTATCTCAGGATGAACCCTGCCCGTGTCAGGTACAGCCAGACCAGAGAGCGCGGCAAATACAAAAAACATACAGCCAAGCTAATGTATATTCCTAACCCGCGTACTTATGACAGCCAGGGACACTGCGCCAAGCTTTCCTACACTGCACTAGTTACTGCCAAAGCTATGTGCGCCCCCGGCATCAGCCCCATCATCGCGACGCCGCTCTTGAGTGCGATGCGGCACGATTACACAACCGGTTTCGCTCTACTAGCTCTATTGTTAAACATGCGGCGGTCTCACACCTTCTGCCCGTTTCTTCTGCGCCTCGATCTCCTTCTGGAGTCTCGCAGGGTCCGTCAGCCTCGACATGTCTACGAGCCCACACAGCAGTGCACTTGCCTGTGGTGCTGTGTGCTTTGTTCAGCGCTCGATGCAGCACGGCACACAGCAGGCGCAACCAGGCGGCAACAGGCGGGTGAGGGGGGGCATCATAATGGTACAACTTTCTATGAAAATGTACTATAATGATTCGACGGGGACCCCAATCTCGCCGCATTTCCTCCTCTCGCTCTGTCACAGCATATACAACCAGCAACCCCCACGAGCCTGTGCTGCTCTCCTGCCCTCTGTCCGCGGAGACACCATGGCCCAGGCTGCAGCGGGTAACGTTCTCCGTGCATCGTTGTTTGCCGTGCCGGTGGCGTTGGCGTTCCATGACGTCATAGGGTCCCCCGTGCAAGTGGAAGGGAGGTCGATGCAGCCAGCGATCAACCCGCACTTGGGCCCAGAGTAAGCAGCCGGCGTGTGTGACTGACTGCGCGCGCCATGTTTGTGTGGCATCGTCCAGCTATTGTACTCCATCCAGATTAGAGAGGAGAAGACACCCGAGGAGTTGCTGTAGGCCCAAGGCGACCTTTGAGCGCATCGAACGCTTTGCGTAGTTGGTTTTCTATATAGAACATCCTGCTGTGGACTGAAGGTACAGCGGCGATACCGCGGTCGCCTATCTCATGTTCTGCAACCACTGCTGTGCCAGACATGCGAGTTGCGTCCCCGTTCCTGTGAAACGGGTATAAGCATTTGAATACAGCACTGATGAGTGCTTGGTCTGGTTCGCTGAAGCTTCCAAGGTAGTCTCCTGAGCAGCGGGTACATCAGTATCAAGAACGATATGAGCAGGTGTCAACAGCGTCAGCTGGACCGGAAGGGACATCAAAGGGCACCGAGCAGAGACCAAATCGTGTTTTAAATGTGAAGGCAACAACATCAGCAACCATCTGATTGACAAAGCCTAAACCATTAATTGCTCAGCCTAATCAGCTGACTGTGTAAGGCAATAACACCAGCAATCATCTGATTGATAAGGGCTAAATAAACCATTATATTACTCAGTCTAATCAGCTGACTGAGTAGTCTACAGTAGTGTATACCAGTGGTTTTGCCCTATCGATCACCATCCTCATCACACGCGGTTGACACCCCCTCTGCCTGTGTCCTCTGCCTGTGTGCCAGCAGGAGCCAACAAGGCGAAAGCTTGGACGTGGTGTGGCAGGACAAGCGGAGCATCTCGAGACACATCTACGAGCGAGGGTCCATCGTCGTCTTCAGGTACACACAGCAGTACGAGCAGTGCTCTTTCTGTCACGTTATCTCTCGGTTTGGTACGATCCAAACACCTCTCGATTTGCCGATTTCTTACGTACGTATTCACCAGGAGCTCCACACTCCAAGCAGATGTGGCCACCATGCGCTCTTTTCTTATGATGGCCATTGTCCAAGTAGATATGGCCATCATTCGCTCTTTTCTTATGGTGGCCATCCTCCATATAGACGCGACCATCATTCGTTCTCTTCTCACTGTAGTCTCATTCGTCCCCCACTGACATTCGAGCGAACTCAAGATACTAATTTTTATGTCCCACACTACGCCAAACTCGCCCTTACCCCCAACGGGGACTCGCGATATCCTGCCTGCGGCGGTATAGTCTCTCTTCCTCAAGATGGAGGTCCGTTTGCTTTCGAATGGCCTTCTTCGCGAACGGGTGTAATGCCGGGGTTGATGTACTTTGTAGCTTCAGCTTTGCTGAGGAGCCCCTGCAACCCAAAGAAGTGGGTATTGAAATTGTGTCGCATGGTTGCATGCCGGGCTTTGAACTGCTGTACTTTTTTTTTTTTCGCAGGAATCCCTTTGACCCGAAAGAGCGGGTCGTGAAGCGACTGATCGGCGTCGATGGCGACTGGGTGCGACCAAGGGGCAACAAGCACAACCTCATGAGAGTGCCGGAGGGATACTGCTGGGTAGAGGGTGACAATCACGGGGTCAGCGGAGACAGCAATCATTTTGGACCGGTGTGTTGGTTGCCAACCTTGCTTGGTATGAAACCTTGTCCATGCATAGTAAATCTAAGAGCTTTTGCCTTTTAAGCATCAACTTGTATGTATTTTGTTGTTTTCGCCAAGGTTTTTTTTTTTGCTTTGGGTAAGTGCTTGAGGTACTACAAGTATCACAGTGACAGGCGGCTAATCCGACCTGCGGCAACATTTTCAACGATATTTGGGCAATGGTCCGATGTCCCACACCCCTTTGGGTCAATGTACAACCCATGTGTGTACAATGTTGTTATCGCTGATTCAAAACACCGAAGACTGTTCCGGTAATACCGTTGGTTGCGTTAGATATCACACCCCCTGGGCCGATTTTCAAAGCTTGAGTACTCGGCAAGAAAAGAAGTGACAGTGCCGAAAATGGCGCAGTTGGAACCGTCCAGTCGAGAGCTTACCGAACACGCATCGTTTGCCTTCGGCATCCTCTTGGTCGTGGAGTAATCGAGCTTTGAAAATCGGTCCAGGGGGTGCGGTATCTTAAGTCACTTGTACGGTACTCCTTAGGGATTGACGAGGTACTGCTGTTGACTGACAATGAAACAACACCGTGAAGCGGCGACTTGGCCGGTGTCGCCGTGTAGCACAACACTCCGTCTTGAAAATATAAATGCCGTCCGGATACAATTGATATCGTCCCAATGGCTCGTATTTTTCCAGAGAGTGGTATTTTGGGTGAGAACTGCTGTAAACCAGCACCGGTTGAAAATGCTGGCCGTTCCAGCTGCTGCTGCTCCTGTGGTAGTTGTACACTTGCCGGAAAGATTGCAGGCACAGGATTAAGTCGACAGGCTGACCCCAGTACCTCGCCACTGCTAGCTCTTGTCGTCGCCCTTGATGCAAGCCGACGACTATTTTCGGCGTTGCTATCTACATCAGTCCCAACCTCGTTTTGTTTGTTTCCCGTTTCCTTGTTGCGCTAGTCTCTTTCGAACGAAAGCGGCCGCAAACTGACCCTCTAACCTGGCCACTGCTGCCTCTTGTCGTCGCGATTGGTGCGAAAACAATAAACAAAAAATGGACGCCGTCATCAACTGCGGCCGGCTACCCGGGACTGTCACATCGACGCAGATACCGCTGGCGCTCATCGAGGCGAAAGTGACCCACGTTTTGTGGCCACCAGGCAGAATGCGCAGCCTGGGCCAAGATTTGCCGGAAATCCACCGCGGTTTGAATCCATCCCAAGCGTGACACAGCGGGCGCCACTTGTGCTTCTACGTTTTGTTATTCGAAGGCAGGGTCCTAAGGGAAGACACACAGACGTGGTAAACAGAGGAATTTGTACACGGCTTGGGAGCAGCGATTCACCGGCGGAGTTTGGATGTGACGCGCGGCTTTGTTGCTGAGGGTACAGAGAGAGCCAGTTCGCTCGTGTTCGCTTCTGGTATCGCACGGCTCTTCTGTTGCTATGTAAAGGGCGCAGGGCTACTTCGCTTTAGCCGATCAATGTTCGCACATTTTTTTTTTTTTTCTTCACTTCAAATCAGCGCTCACAGCTCTAGTGCCGTTTATTCCAACCCGTGGTCACACAGAAGAGCCTCTCTATACCCTCCCCTCCTGCTATGGCGGCCCTTGATTGTTTGTTTTAAGACATCCAACTGGACGTGTTCATGGATGAGACGAAGAAAGCGTGTTTTTGTTGTTGTCGTGCTCATTTACTACTACTTCGTTCGTTGATAGCTGAGAGCGCGAGTCATTGCGTCAAAGAGCAGCTCTAATGATAAGGGTTCGGCCATTTTGCTGACCCACTGCGAATTTCTTAATCAATCGATTGATTGTTTTCCGTGAAAGGTATGCCCCCATGTCTCTGTAACTCGCCAGAGTCGTCTGAATCACCCCCCACCAAAGCGGTGGAGACGGTGGTTGGCTCTTGAGAACACAGGCCGCAGCGTGTCGAACACACTCCTACATGCACTGTTGGGGCCAACCGCGCCCCCAACCTTTGGCCCGTCCGAACTGCAACGAGCCATGCTTGCGGGAAATACTTCATGGAAGATCTTGGGGACTTCTGTCCCCGTGTCCCTGGCGTCTCGAGCACGGCATGCGTACGTTGGTTTTACCGCCTTCGCCCAAGGGCAAGTCATTACCGCCAAAAAGCGTGAAGAAACAGCTCGTGTACGTGTTTGTTGTTGTTGTTGTTGTTGTTGTTGTTGTTGTCTTCACATTAAAAACCGTTCCGATCTCTCTACACAGTGTATTCATGTGTCTGTCGGTACTGACCAAACACTTGACCGAGCGATTCCCGTGGTCACTGGCTATGTAAAAGGCCGCCAAAATCACCGCCGTCCAAAGGCATTGGCACCCCACCCTTGGCCGCCTAAAACCGTTTTGGACGCAACCCCTTTTTATGTGCAAATAGAACTATTAGAGAGTCCCCATGAACGGGGAGGAATGGATACCTCTTGTCGATGCAAACAAGAGACGGAAGCAAGTGTCATCCTCGACGTGGCCATGGTAGATTATTTGTAGATACCTTTCGCGAGGTGGGATGCCCACATAGTACATAGATAATATCACGGACAGGTGGACGTCCACCCCCCTTCCCCAAATCGTCCGATGCCTTCGCCCCCTTGTGGAGACCTTGACACTACGCAAGGTGTTCGACCTTGTTAAGGTCTCCACAAGGGGGCGAAGGCATCCGACATTTTGGGGAAGGGGGGTCGACGTCCACGGAAAAGGCAATTTTTTTATGTTGGGTCTTTTCTGTGGTTCCGTGACGTTTTTCGACATTTATTATTATTTTCCTTCGGTAAAAGTGACGAAAAAAGTGACGCTACACTTGTACTCTGCAGATTGCGGCCTCACACTACTGATGAACAGCCCCAAGACCAAGAGAGGAGTAGGAGAGGGAGTGCTGAGTGTGTGTGGAGTTACCCAGCAGAGCCAGAGGTCGCTGATGAGAAGTTGTGTAGACATAAGAACCAGGGAAAAAGCCCTCGAATCCAACTCTCTTCTTCTATCTCATGCATGTGCCACATCAAATGTACACAGATACAGCCGTGCTGTACCGATGCAGCCATGTTTTACCGATCGCTGATGAAACCACAAGCAAGAAGAGCTCTCGTGAGGTTTATTCCTCGCAACGTGTATGGTTTTTGGGATTCATCGATGTGCTGTGACGGACGGCAGCAGCTGCTGGTGCTGCTGGTGCTGCTGGTGCTGCCGTTACTTTTTCCGTTGGATGATTTTCCACCGGGGCGGCACCTACTATGTGCTCTAACAAACGCAAGAAAACCACGCGTGCGTGTAGGAAATTACCTCCTCTCTCTCTCTCCATGGCTGCGGCCGACTGTTGCTGCTGATGAGTGCAGCTACAGCAGTACTGCTGTACCCTCTTCGGAATCCTACAGCGGCAAGCAGCAGTCATTCAAAGATTTTGTTGGCCAACGATAGCGGCAGCGTGGTAGAAAGACCCTACAAACAGCGGACGTCTCTCTCAGAAATGCAAGTTTCAAGATAGTACAACTCGTCCACCTCCTCGGGCAACTCCTGCAAGAAACGGCGTGTGAGATGCTGCCGTTGCCATGAAGAAATCGCGCGAAAGCCTTGGAGTTTTTCCTCTTTTTTTTTTTTTTTCAGGCGCCGACATGAAAAATAATTGCCCACCTGTATAGGTGACACGAGATAGCACACCCTCTGTGGGCAAAAGCAAGACCGATTGGTCCACGACGAAGAAGATGCATGTATACATCAAATGATGCGTTTCGGAAAGCTCAGACCAAGACAGTTTCAGCGCCGCCGTTTTCCGCAAGTCCTCTCTCGCTCTCTCTCTTATTGCCCGCCGAAATTTCCTACTTGTTGTACAGCAATTTCTTTGCGCGGTGATTCTTTCGTCGCCTGTGAGAGGGTCAGCCGACAGCAGCACAGCAGACACACAGCAACGCCGGCCGGATTAGCTCCACCACACAGCCGCCGCCCATCACGTCACGCTGGCCGGTGAACAAGACAGGAATAGGGCGGGGATTGGATCGGAAGGCAGCGAAGTAACGACACCTGTTTGGGAAGGTGTGTGCTGCCTCCGGCTGGCTCCTGGCCCCCTCTGTGCCAATGCCTGATGATGCATTTTTCGCTCCTAAAGCTTGCCTTGTGTTAAGCATAGCTTGCCTTGTGTTAATCATGTTGCTCTCTCCGCCGTCGTTCCTGCGCTCGGTAGTTCCCGAACACGCTTTGTCTCGCCCCCAAGGCGTCCCGGCATGCCGGTCGTGCCCTTCCTTCATTAAGCGGCGATTGTCGCCCCGTAGGTACACACAGCAGCAAGCAGTATCACGAACAATGACACGTGTTGTTGGGTGCTCCTATATAGCCTGCTGTCCTCTCTACACAACAACGAGGGTTCGTCATCTCATCTATCTTCTGCGTGGGGAAGACGTCTCTCGCACGCTGCTCTCAGAAACGAATGGGCATGTCCTGGAATTCACGACAGGCAGTCAGTGTGAAACGTAGCGGTAGTCGATGTACTGCTGTAGATGGTGGCACAATTTTCTGATGCGCGCGCAGCTTACACCGGGTATGAATACCTACATGTTACGGCAAACGAGGTCCTTCCCGATGAGGCGTGAAGAAGCGGCGATGGCAGCGTACACGTAGTGGTGCGCGCTGTCGTATTTCTTTCCCTGCTCCCTGGCTCAGCTCACTGGCCGACTGGCAACGGGCCGGCGGCACCCAGAATTGTTTGGTGGTTTTCTTTCACATCTCAGGCCATTTCTTGCGGTTCTTTTTTCGCAGATCTTTTTTCCCCCCTTTCGGACAACCCAGAAAGGGATCTACAAAAAAGATGACCCCCTTCTTACGGTGTTGGTCGATCCTTTTTCACCAACCAAAAAAAAACAGACTCTGCAACGGCTGCTGTCACACATACATGTACCTTCCCACCGAAATGGTTTTTCGGTGATATCTCCTCACAGAGTGAAGCAGCGCCTACTGTAAAGCTATCCCTCGCGAGCTATGTGTATGGTCCGTCTTGGGTGGCGGCTGACAGAGACCACAGGGCGATAGGAGGCACGGGAATGGAGGTGCCGAGAGTCGACAGCACGCTGAAAAAATGCCCACCGCCCCAGCAACCATTTTTTTTGCTCTTGTGCCCCTGTCAAAACTTTGGTTTACCGGTACTCCCTCGCCACCCACTCTAGCAACAGCGATGACAAAGGTATGCGCCACGAGCTGTGTGTATGGTCCGTCTTGTGTGGTGGCTGACACAGACCAGGAGGCTATTATAGGACGTTCAGAAACTGTGAGCGCGAGAGTGGTGGACAAGCGGGAAAAATGATCCGCCGCATCTTCAAGCAACTTTTTTCGCTCTTTTGCCCGTGTCGCAACTTTGGTTTGCCAGTACTCCCTCGCCACCCACTCAAGCAACAGCGATGATAAAGGCATGCGCCACGAGCTGTGCGTATCGTTCGTCTTGTGTGATGATTGATACAGCCCAGGAGGCTATAGGACGCCCAAAAGTTGGGTTCGCAAGGTTGACAGTACACACGAAAAATGACCCACCTCACCGCTGCTGCGTCCAGGCTCTCTCGGTTTGTTTGCCTCTTGTTTGCCGCACACATCGGGTTGTCCACCTGGTCCAGCCCACTGAAAAAACATTGGCTACCGCCGGTGCCACCGACTCTGTACCAGCCAGCAACATGACACAACTCCTGTGACCACCGTTAGAGTTTGCGGTGGGCCGTCGAGAGATTCAAATTTCTAGGTACGAGTGATGTGGTTGTGACCAAAAAGAGACAACAGTTTTGGACAGCCTCCACTTGTCCACAAAGCTGCCCCAAAAAAAGACAGGATGGGCTGTCCAAAACGGGTTGTCTTTTTCTGGCGATCTTTTTTTGAGGAAAAAAGACATGTAAGGCCACTTGTTAAGCTGTCCTTTTTTGGGCTGTCCCTTTTCTAAAAAAGGGACAACTGACCAAGAACCACTTGTTACGTGGTCTTTTTTTGCATTTTTGAACCTCCCGAAAAGGGACAGCGAAAAAAGATCGCCCCATCCTGTCCCTTTTTGGGCAACTTTGTGACAGGATGGGACGGTCCTTTTTTGTTGTCCTTTTTCTGTCACAACACATGACACTTGCCCACAAACTTGAATATCTCGACGGATGATCCCCGCAAACTCTAACGGTATTCGCACGAGTCGTGTCATGTGACTGGTACGGAGTCAGTAGCCTCGGCGATAGACGTAATGTTGTCATTCGGCTGACCAGGTGGACAACCCGATGTGTGCGGCAAACAAGCGGCAAACGAGCCGAAAGAGCCTGGACGCAGCAGCGGTGGGTCTTTTTGGTGCACAGTCAACTTTTGCGAACCCAACTTCTGGGCGACCTATAGCGTCCTGGTCTGTATCAATCACCGCACAAGACGAATCAGACGCACAGCTCATGGCGGATACCTTTGTCATCGCTGTTGCTTCGGTGTGTGACGAGGGAGCATCGATGAACCAAAGTTGCAACACGGGGAAAAAGAACAAAAAATATGCTTGGAGACGCGGCGGGTCATTTTTCCCGCTTGTCCACCACTCTCGGGCTCACAACCTCTGACCGCCCGTCAGCCTTCTGGTCTGTATCAACCACCACACAAGACGGACCATACACATAGCTCGTGGCGGATACCTTTGTCATCGCTGTTGTTTCAGTGTGTGGCGAGGGAGCATCCATGAACCAAAGTTGCGGCATGGGCAAAAAAGAGCAAACAAAGCTGGTTGTTGGCGCGGTGGGGTTTTTCAAGGTGCTGTTGACTCTCGCCACCTCAGTTGCCGTGCCTCCCACTGCCCTGTGGTCTCGATCAGCCGCCACACAAGGCGGACCAAGCACCCAGCTCGCGGGGGATAGCTTTACAGTTGCTGATGCTTCGCTCTGTGCGGAGATATCACCGAAAAACCAACTCGGTGCCAAGGTACTCATTGTGTGACGAACGGCTGTTGCACTTGTTGTTGCAGGGTCATTTTTTTTGGCGGATGAGCAAAAAGGATCGACCAGCACCGTAACAAGTGGGTCATCTTTTTGCTAGATTATTTTTTGGTTCGTCCCTTTTTGAGAAAAGGGACAGCCCAAAAAAGGACAGCTTAACAAGTGGCCTAAGAAGACCTTCTACGGCCAGTTGTCTTTTTTTGAGAAGGAAAAAAGAAAAAGATCATAAAAAAAGACAACCGCAAGAAATGGCCTCAACAAATATCAACCGGGGGCAACCATTCTTTCTGCCTGTGTGCTGAAAATTTCGTGTTGACTCTTGATTGTACATGTAGCTACATTGGCTGTCCTCCATTCACGATCGCCGCCTAAAGCCGCGTAAATGCTGTAGAGGTTTTTAACTCGACATTTGAGTCGCTTATGGACCAACCAAGTTCCACTTCGTGCAAACGGATTGCCGCACTGCATCAACTATTGAACATGTCTGGACCCGTAACGGGACCGGACCCACTTTTGTCACGAAAGAACCCTTAATTCACGAACTCTTGTGGAACAGCGGTAGAGTAGTATTCAGCGTTGACTAGTCTAATGGTTTGATTTCAGCTTTTGAAGGTGCCACAGCAACCACCGATCGACGTACTTCCTCTATGCTGCAAGCACCCACGCCGTAAGCACCCACCCAACACGGCGTGCGTGCTTACACTCTTCAGAAGCACGATGACTGCTGCGCTGATCACGCACAGATAGCAACCCTGGGGGGACGGACGTGTTCGTGACTTGGGAAGAAACTTGACGGACTCGGGCGTTGAGAAGCGAGACCATTATAGTCAGCGCTGACTAGTGGGCAATCGTGCTTTTCAACACTTACTCGAGGCCGTGCTCTTGTTGACGGTGCCGCCGTCGTTTCGACGCTTCCACCCTCCGTACCCGGTGCTGCCATCCGCTGATGGTGTGTAGTATGTTCAACTCTCGGCGGTAGGCCTACAAATCTTTCAACAACAACTTGATCTCCTGCACGCAGAACACTTACGCCCCCCCGCCCCCTCTGCCCCCCCCGGCGTTTGCCATCGGGGTTGGGTTCTCGTCGCACGACGTTGTTAAACAAGCCGATCACTGTGTGAGCTCGGCAACCAGGTTACCGCTTTTTTGGCGTTTTTTTTTTTTTTTGCGGTAACCATGAATGGTGGTCGAGTAGATTATGTTGTGCGGCGTCGAGAACCCTCACTCCGCACAAAGGGGATGATCGCACCACGTCGTGTTAAATTGGTCAAGCACCCTCGAGGCAGTTACACAGCAGTGCTTACACCTGTCTCTGGAAGTCAAAGCACCAGAAAACAAATTCAGTCATCCGCAGCTGTCATCTGCCCTCAAGGGTATGCACATGATGCCGAACACCCTTGGCAGGATGCAGCGCACCCTTCATGCGACTTGCCGAACACCTCACGGCGCTTCGCGCTTGGTGATGTCAGAGCCTGGCCCGGTGAGATCCCGGCGTGTTCCGTCCCGGCTTTGTAGGGATGCGAAGTCAATGGTCTAACGACTACGCATGTACGGCATGCACGACTATGAGTACCCCCCCCCCCCCCTCCCTCGGAGGGACTGCATTGCCTAGCAAGGGGAGAAGTAGGCAGAGAGCATGAACATTTCCGGGTGAAATTGACCAAGGGAGACAGCCAAGAGTGCTTGGGGGTTGACATCGAGAAGCTGTCGAACTACGTAAGGAAGTTTGGATGGAGGGTTTGCGTCGCGAACATGATAGGAACAGAGAAGGTAAGGCGACAGGAGGCGAGGGCGATAGAGGCGAAGAAGAGACCGGGCGGGGGAGACGAGCAGGCAAATCAGAAGAACGCCGAGAAGAAGCGGAAGGCGAAGGATAGAGTGCGCAAAATCTCCAATAGGGAAAAGCACAAGCTCAGAGTGGGGTCGTGGAACGTGTGCGGGTTCGCAAGGAGTGAGCGCAAGCGGTTGGAAATAGTGGACCAAGTAGAACAAAGCGATCTGGATGTAGTGGGGATCCAAGAGACGTGGGAACTGAAGGATGGGGACGTGGTAAGCAAAATAGGGAAGTACCGGTGGGTAGGGAAGGCAAGAAAGGGCTTAGACCCGAAGAAAAGGGGGGAGGGGGGAGTCGGATTCCTGGTCAAGGAACACTTGTATGACGTGGTGGAAGTAGTGATGAAAACGGAGTTCGAGGAAAGCCTATGGCTTAAGATACCTGGCGGAGCGGGGTGAGAAAGATTTGTTTCTAGGGAACGTATACGTCCCACCGTCGTCGAAGAAAGTCGCAAGCAAGGCGCAGGAGAACTTCGGACAAATTGGGGAAGATGTCCAGAGGTTCAGTAGGAAGGGAGAAGTTGTCATGGTGGGCGATTTCAACTCCAGAGTAGGGAAAGCTTGCAGTAGAGGACAGGCGATCGGGCAGCACGGAGAAGACAAAGTGAATGACAACGGAGTGAGGATGCTTGAATTCTTGGGAAGCAACGAGCTGATGGTGTTGAACGGTAGGAGGGAAAGCGATAAGCCAGAGTTCACCAGGCAGAGGGCAGTTTGCAATGAATACTCGATCCTCGACTACATCCTGGTAGATAGGGGGAGCACACAGGTCCCGGAGCTGCACGTAAGTGCGATAGATATAGGTTCGACCGACCATTTCCTCATATGGGCAAACATCGACCGATCTAGAAAGACGGAGAGTAAGAAAAAGAGGAAAGTGTTCCGGTGGAAAGTAGAGCGTTTGGGAGACGAGGGGACACGCGATGAATTCCAGAAGGGATTGGCTGGTAGTGTAGAACCCTTCAGAAACCTGCTGAGAAGCGTCGAAGACGGAAACGTAGACGTACAAGCAGCAGGGGACAGGGTGATTGAAGGATGGGAGTCCATAGTGAACACAGCGGCAGAGAGAGTAGCGGGAAAGAAGGTGGTACGATGTGGGGTATCGGTTAAGTGGTGGGATGACGAGCTGAAAGAAGAAATAGGGGAACGTAGAGAAGTCTTCAAGCAGTACCTGGGTGAGGGGTCTGAAGAGAGTTGGGAAAAGTACAGGGCCAAGAGGAAACAGGTGAAGGGACTAGTGAAAAAGAAGAAAAAGAGCATTTGGGACGAAGTAGTGCAGAAGGCCAACGGAGACCTGGAGGGGAACGTCAAGCAGATGTGGGAAGGGATTAGTGGGATGGTAAAAAAGACCGCGCAAGGGGGGGATACAGGGGTAGCAACATTGCGAGGTGTGAACGGTGGACTAGTCAGCAGTGGGAAGGGAAAAAGGGAAGTTCTAGCAGGACACTACAAGAGACTTGGAGTGCCTTCGGAGAATGAAGATTTTGACCAAGTGTTTAAGAAGGAGGTGGACGCATGGGCCCAGAAAGAAGAAGAGACATCGAAGGCAGACGTTGGGAACGTAGAACTAGAAAAGGAGTTCACTGAGGACGAGGTTGAGGCGTGTGTGAACAAGCTGCAGTGCCACAAAGCAGCAGGGGCGGATGGGATAGTAAACGAGTTCATGAAGTTTGGGGGCAAGGGGATGATCCAGCTGATGGTACTGCTATACAACTGGGTGTGGAAAAACGAGTATGCGCCAAGTAGATGGAGGGAAGGAGTGGTTGTGAACTTGTTTAAGAAAGGAGACAAGACTGACCCAGGAAACTACAGGGGTATCACACTGTTGAACACAGTAGGAAAAGTGTTCTGTAAGCTGCTGAACGATAGGATAGTGGGAGTATTGGAGAAGAAACGTAGCATTAGTGAGGGCCAGGCAGGTTTCCGACAGAAGAGGGGGTGCGTAGACCACGCATTCACGGTAGGGAGAATCATCCAAGGTAGAAAGAGGGCGGGCAAGCGGACGTACTGCTTCTTCCCGGACGTGAAAAAGGCATACGATACCGTATGGAGAAATGGGCTGTGGAAACAATTGTCCAAGTACGGGATCAAGGGGAAAATGTGGAGGGTGCTGAAGAAGATGACAGAGTGTACGAAAAGCGCGGTCATGCTAGACGGAGAACTGTCTTAATTCTTCGACATTGAGCAAGGGGTCCCACAAGGTTGCACGCTGTCCCCAACATTGTTCCAGGTGTTCATCAACGATCTGTTGGAAGTCGTAGAGGCAGTCCGGAAGGGAGTAAAAGTAGGGGACACGGAAACTTCGGTGTCAGGAATGCTGTTTGCGGATGACTTTGTTGGTATGTCGGACACCCCTGAGGGACTGCAACTGCAAATTGACGCGGCGAAGAAGTTTACTGATAAGTGGAGATTGTCTGCCAACGTTACGAAGAGTGCCGTCATGGTATGCAACGAGGGCAGGGAGGAACCAGTAGAACATAGATGGAAGTGGGGGATCGAGGAGATTGCAGTAGTGGACCAGTACACATACCTCGGAATAGAGATCGCAAAAGATTGCTCGTGGAATGCACACATGTCCAAGGTAGCGGAAAAGGGCAAAGCACGAGCAGGGAAGCTGCACCCAATACTCGCAAACCGGCACCTTGATACACGCATCAAACTGACGGTTTTGAAGAGCGTAATCGTACCGCCGCTGGAGTACGCCGGAGAAGTATGGGAAGGAAATAAGAAGGTAGTGAAAGAACTCGAGGCGGCGCAGATGAAAGCAGCGAAAATCATCCTAGGATGCTCCAAGCGCACAAGTAATGCAGCAGTCAGGGCAGAATTGGGGATCCAATCCCTACGGTCGGGAAGAGACGTAAGGAAGCTGACATGGCAGTACCGCATGTGCGGGATGGGAGAGGAGAGGTTGCCGAGAATAGTATGGGAGGCGAAGTGGGCAAACAAAAAGAGGGGTAGACAACACACGGAATGGGTCAAGGTTGTAGAGGACGTATGGAAGGGATTGGACATCGACGAAGATGAAACGCTGGAAACGGAGGGTCTACAGGGGTTCAAGAAGAAGATATCTGTTGCTTGTGCCGAGAGAGAAGAACAAAATCTAAGGAAAGAAACCAAGGATAAGGAGGGTCTCGAAGTGTACGGAATGTTGAAAGAAGGAATAGGGTTCAAGGATTACCTACATGGACCAATGGATGCAGGGACAAAGCTTAAGGTCAAATTCAGGACCGGGGACATAGGCCTTCGCGAACGTCGACGAAGACATAGGACGGTAGACGACGAAGACGACAAGTTCAAATGCGATTGCGGCTTCGAATGCGAAGACAGTGTTCATGTAGTCGCGGAATGTCCGTGGTACGAAAAGGAGAGGGAAGTGTACATGACCGAGCTGGGAAGAATACAAGGGACGTACAGGGAGATGTTTGAGGCATGGGATAGAGAGGAGAGGACGGTAGCGGTACTGGGGAGTAGAAAGTGGTTTGAAAAAGCGGAAAGTGACATCGGTAGGATAGACAGACTAGGAAAGACATTTTTGAGCCACCTTTGGCAAAGTAGGAAGGAACGATTGACCATCGGTGATCGGTCCTGTGGGAACAATGCTCCGTCCTCTCGAGGACGCGTGGTCAATGGTCTAACCGCTAAGGCATGCAAAGCATAAGAGTACGCCCCCCCCCCCCCCCCCCCCCCCCCCCCCC